AAGTTTTAACTTACGGAGAAATACCATCATGGACAATAGTTTGGTGTTTGGGAATCAATCCCACACTCATCCAAATAAATCCAACGTCCCACAATGTCCAAAGGGAACAGGGTTAAGCTGAAATCGACGACCCTCAAATGGTTGTCGTAGAGAATCCATTGAAAAGTTGATGAACATAGTCGGTAGATAGGAGCGAAACTAGGCTTATGTTTCTCCACCCAATAACGAGGTGGAGTTCCCAAATAGGGAACGAGCTAAACGAATTCCCACTAGGCGAACCCTCCACTTTTCGAGAAAAAGAATCTTTGAAAAGCCGGATGGACGAGGTTAGAAGCCCTCGTTCAGCAACAAAACCAATCGTTAGGAAAGCTAGCGGCGTATTTGACAAGTTAGGCTCCAAGCATTCAGTCATACCTCAAAGTGAATGATTTGAATTCAATTTCGAAATGCCCACTGGAACAGAAAAAACTAGAAATGGATGCCTTAAAAAAGCTTATTAATGATTTAGAAGCTAAAAAGAAGCCAAAAACAAGGGGACTGTTGAGAAATACCTTGGTAAAGGCCACTCTCCCTTCACAGAAGATATTCTTGATGAGCCCCTGCTCGAAAAATTGAAGATGCCATAGTTGACTAGGTACGAAGGGGAAGGAGATCCTTCTAATGACTTAGACAAGTACACTTCTTGGTGGAGCTACAGGGTGCTCTGCTTTCCCACTAATGTTGGGAGATAAAGCTCAAACATGTTTTTGACTGCTGTATCAAAGATCCATAATAACTGGACCGACCTAACCATGGCGTTCTTAGCTCAATTCATAGGATCCAAGGCCAAAACTATGCCTAAAGAATGCTTGGTGAGCATCTAACAAGGAAAAGCAAACTACTCAAAGGTTACCTCCATAGATTCAACAAGCAATCCATGGAGGTAGAAAAGATCTTCGATGATGCCTCCCTCATGGCATTCTTCTTTGGACTAAGGCCTCGAACAAGGTTTTGGTGGTCTATATATAAGGATGGACCCCAAACGTATCATGAATTCCTCGGTCAACTTGAAAAACATATAACCACAGAGGAGGTAACCTTAGATCAAGAGAAAACTAAGGCAGAGCTGCACACCTTAACAGGCAAAGGAGAAAAAGTTAGATAAAGGATTCACCCATGAGATAAGGAAAGACTGGAGGAAAAGAGATCGACCCAAACCTTACCCAGACAGGTTTCCTGAATACCTACTAAATGCTACCTTAGAAGAAGTTTTCATCCAAACAGGTGATAAGGAGGTGTTCTGCAGACCCCTACCCTAGAAAAAGGATCCGACGGGAAGAAATCAAAACAAGTACTGTCAATACCACAAGATGGTAGGACATAATACATATGATTGTAGAGACTTGAAAGAAGAAGTGGACTCATTAATCAGACGAGGCCACCTATAAGAATTTTTTGCTAAACCTCGAAAGATAAACCCATCTTGTCACCAACAACCTTACCAACAAGGGGCAAGACAACAAGCTCAGCAGGATCTCCCGACTCGAAATCCCCATCCCCAAGTCAAGGTCAGAATGTGATAGGCGGCAATCAGTACATCGAAGGATCCACAAAAGAGAAGCACAAACAAGCTCAATAACACACGCATCTTATAGAATTATGAAATAAAAAACCCAAGTTCGACCATGACGTTGCACCATACCTGGAGGGGTTCGAATTTTCAGATTAAGACACTCGAAGAATTCTTCACGACCAAATAGACTCTTTGGTAATAACCATGTCGATCACAGTACTACAAATATACCGAACCCTTATAGATAACAGGAACTCAGTTAATGTGCTATATTCCCGAAGTCTGGAGCAAATGAGATTCTTAGATAACTCTAGCCATAATCCAAAAGACTACAAAGATTTTTCGAAGATCCCATCGAAGCCCGAGGACAAATCGCTTTGACTGCGAAATTAGGCAAGTCTCCATATTAAAGGAAAACCACAGCAGACTTCGTAGTTGTCGTTTTGCTTTCCAGCTACAGCGCCATTTTGGGTAGACCCATATTACACGAACTAAAGACAACCACTTCAATATACCATTACAGTATGAAGTTTTCCACCCAATGAGGTTGGAGTGGTGCAAGGAGATCAGGCTGAAGTTTGAGCATACAATATTGATCTACCTAGACCTCATATCCAGATGTTGAGAGACGAGCGAAATATTCGAAATGGGAAAGCAAGGTTGAAAAAAACCTATAGTAGCCAACTTAACTATAACCAGTATCATTGAGAAACATCGAAAAACCCAAATGGACAACTATTTGTCATTTGATGATAAGGATGCGAACCCACATCCTTATTTTGCAGTATTTATGATCTCAATACCCCTAGCCAAGGCTAAAATCCCCAAGGTCTTATTCAACACCGAGAGTTCCCTCAACATACTTTTATGCCAACACACTGAAATGGATAGGTATTCCACTTCACTTCTTATAGCCCAAACCAAATACGGTTTTAAGGTTGAACGGAGCTTTAATTGAGGCAAAAGTGCTGATCAAGCTCACTATTGAGTCTGGTGAAAGTCCACATCGAGTTAGATTGAATGCTAAATTTGCGGTGTTTAATTCCACTTCATCCTACGATGCCATTATGGGACAACCTCAAAGCCATCGTGTCCATATACCATTATGGCATATCTTAGCAACCTCTTTATTTCCTTTGACTTCATTTACACCATGAGGAATGGGAAACTTAAGCAAGCAATGGTATAAGGACACAACGGCTTTGAGGCTATCCCATAATGGCATTGTAGGATGAACTGGAATCAAACACTTTATTAATTGGGTTTTGAGAAATGCCTTGAGCTCAAAGTTAGCGGGGGCCTAGCCTTTTATAGAGATACGAGTCTTGTACCTTATGTCAAACTGTCTAAGCTCTATGGTCTATTTGACCTTTCGACCTGAGGTATCTAGTTTCTACAAGGTTTGCTTCAATAGATAATTAGTTAGAATCTCGATAATGTGCTCTAGGAAGTATGGATAGCTTCCTAGCTGCGATGATCATGGCATAGGACAATTTCTCTAGCGAGGAGTAACAAAGCTTAGCCTTATGAAGAGCTTTGCTAACATAGTGAATGGGATGTTGTGCTCCATCTGCATTCCTAGCTAGGACAACACTAATTGCATGCTCGAACACGACGAGGTACAATACTAGAGTTTCACTTGCTTTAGGTTTTGATAGGACTGGTGGTTGAGCTAGTCGCAACTTTAGTTCATCAAAGGCACTTTGGCATTCGAGGCTCCATTGGAACTTCTTTCCTCTTTTTAGGACATCAAAAATTGGTTTGCACTGATCCATCGATATTAACACAAAGCGACTGAGGGCAGCTATTCTTCCAATAAGGCTTTGGACTTCTTTTGGTCTTGTTGGTGCTTTCACTTCGATGATGGCTCATTGCTTTTTGGAATATTCCTTCATTCATTGACGATTCACCAAATAGCCTAAGAATTTTTTAGAGCTTACACAAAGGCACACTTGTGCAGGTTAGTTTTATCCTGTATTTTCTCAAGATTTAGAACATATCAGCAACAAGGCATTGCTGGTGATCTTTGGCTTCTGTGCTTTTAACTAGCATGTCATCTATGTACATTTCCATGGTTTTTTCGATTTATTTGGTGAACATGGAGTTCAAAAGGCGTTGATTAATGGCTTAGGCATTCTTCAGTCCAAAAGGCATCATCCTATAATAGTAGAGCCTCGATTAATTATGTACGAGGTGTGCTCTTGATCCAGTTCATACCTATGTATTTGATTATACCCTAAATACGCATCCATAAAGCTGAGTAATTCATATCCTGCCGTAGCATCAACCATCTGATCTATTCTTGGTAGAAGAAATCTATTTTTAGAATATGCTTTGTTGAGGTCGGTGAAGTCTGTGCATATTCTTCAGTCTCCATTATTCTTCTTTACGAGCACGGGGTTAGCTTTTGCACTTCTTTGTTCAAGGCCTCATACTTTTCCGAATTTAAAGGATGGCATAGTTGTTGCTTTGGTTGAACTAAGGGATCAATGTTTAGTCTGTGGAAAGTAATTTTGGGCAATTCCTTCCATGTTTTCGTAACTCTAGATGAAGATGACAAGATTCTGTCGAAGGAACTCTATTATTTGACTTCGAATTGGTAGCTGAAGTACATGACCTACTTTGAGCTCGAGGCATTTCTCAAAACCCAATTAATTTCCTTTCCTCAATTGGTGTTTGAAAAGGCTAAGTCCGGTGCTGGTGTGTTTTGCGTATGTTAGGTGTGGCATAAGCCTCATATAAACGATTAAAATTATTACTCTTTTATAAGAATGCAAAATTATGCTAATAACAAACCATGAACCATTTAGTGCATGTTTGGTAGGTGGTTATAATATATTTTAAGTGATTATAAGTTGTTGGTTCTGTAAAATGCATGCATTAAAGTCGTAGAACATGAATGGTGAAGATATAACCTACCCAAACATGTATTTAGATAATCCATAATTAAGCATTTCAACAAAATCGAAAGTTTGGTTTGTTACTAGAATTTTAAAAAAGATCAACGAAGTGCAAGTGATAAATCAACAAAGTACTAATGAATAATCGCATAACAAGATTACTAATTTGAAAATGGTACTACCTACCACCTTACCCTAGTATTCTACCATTGAAAAAATTCAATATTGTTTATTTTAAAAACAATATTATTTAAATAATGGGACTTTTGGAATATCAATTTTTATAAATTTCAGCTGAATTTTAAAAAATAGTGTATTCCTCAGTATCTTATACGGGTTTCATAATTATGGAGCCCTTTTACAAAAATAATCTCTCATGGATTTATTGGTACAGGGCTTAAATAACTCAATTTTCTCCGATGAACTAATGTGTTGTAATTCTTGTAGTTTAATTATAATAAAATTGGCTGAAAGATAGAATTCCATTAGATTATTTAGTAATAGATAGTTCACGAAATATTAAGCCCCATTCTCCAAGAAATCCAGTTTAACTCCAGAAGTAGTACACCAAAAACAGAGGTGGAAAAAAGAAAACAAGACAGAAAAGCAAAACCAGGAGAGACTATATTCTCATTGAACTATGTTTCTATGGAATTCTTCTCGTGATCACCCTCTAGCTGGCTTAAGTTGCCTTTCTCCTTGATGAGTTGGATATGATGGTGTTTGCAGTAAAGACGCCCCTCATGTGCAATGTAGTTTGAGGGACTGATAACGCATCCTCCATGGGTGCATTTGAAACAGCTCTTGTGGTATGCAGTTCCATTCACTGACACCTGCACACATTTGTGATGCAAGAAAATTATGAGTATCGCTCATAATTTTCCCTGTGCTTACATACCAAACATATTGTGAAATATACTATAAGTGTTAGCTAGATGTGAGTTGCCCAATTGGTACTATGATTCAACTTAAGTTTTACTTGAGGGAAAGATCATGGCCTGGGTTGTTACAAATATGAACTATAGATTAGGTGGATAGTGTGGTCCACCGGATTCAAATGATAGGATTTATTACCTTTTCAGTTGGATAGACAGTATTTTTGCATCCCACACATTTTTCTCTTGTTCCACCAAACATACTTGAAACTTTGTTCGCCAGAGGTTTCTGTATTAAACATCATGATTAGGAGATTGATTATGAATCCATGTACCGAAAATTGGCAATGAACTTAGATCATTTTGGGTTTTGTGATCAATAAATGAATGTAGTGTGTTGATGAGGACTCTTACCTCAGTGTCAACTGGTTTCTCTGGTTTTGCAATTTTAGGTGTTCCTGGAAACGTTAAGGAGGATGCATTATCAACATCATTAGTATGCAGTATCGGACATGATTGGACAGAATAAGGAAAAAGATTTTAATATCTTTTTCTTCTTTGACACTTTGCACAATACTGTCCAATACAGCTTATGAATCATAAAATAAATGTTTCGTGCAAAACAATTAAATCTAGTGCTCTTATTTCTCCCTATTTACCTTCAAAGCTTTTGTCAAGGCTGCCAGTTCTTTTGAAGAGTTGATCAAAGTGTGGCCTGCAATACAAAACTCCCTCAAAGGAATTGTAGTTCCCAAGCTGCAATTAAACCACAGATTAACAATTTTTTTTTTTTTTTCTCAAGTTCCTATGGTGAAACTTGATATAATCAATTATGAACGTTATGTTAATGGAATACATTGGTCTTATGTAATATTTATTCAATCCAGAATGCAAAGTAAACTGAAAAGGAAGGTCCAAATTATGCAGAAGAACAAAAAGATTTTTCTGTTTTGAACCACGGCCTCATCTAAAGCTTAAACTAAATCCCCATTCACATTGGATCACTTTAATCATCGTGCTATTTTGGTCGATATGGTGGTGAAATGACTTGAATTCCAAACAATTTCGAGCTCTGATATCATGCTGAATCACTTCATTTGAAAGCTTAAGCTATATATTTAAACTCAATCTTCAATATCCCGAGTCCAAAATTAAATATATTCAATCAAGAACCTACCTATACTTGAAGGCCAGACTCAGAATCAAAGATCCATTCATAAAAGAGTGAGATTACGATAAAAATTTCATACACAGTTTCAAACAAACCTTGAGGGTTCCCTTGCAGTGATGACATCTAAAACAAGCTTTGTGGTAGACTCTATTATCAGCGGTTAACTTATCAACCAAATACACAGTCTTATCACAAGCCATGCATTTCTGGGTTGTTCCTGCAAATGCCATGGCAACAAAAAAACTCTATCTTGATCTTCTCAACCTCTCTTTCTCTCTCTATCTCTTGTTTTGTGAACAAAATGGGATTAGATGGGGGAAGAGAGAGAAACAAAGAAATGGGCAAGATAAGCGGCTTTGGAGACACAAATTTGAGAGTTGTAAATAGATATTTGGCAATCATTTTTCCCTTGTACCAAACACCAACCTTTTCTAGATTTTCCCCCTCTTTTGATATTATTTATCTCAATTTGTTTTTCTCTAGGAATTTTTCTTTTTGTTAAACCAATTCTACCTAAATTATTCATTTAATAGTTATAAGTTAAAACTATGGATCGTATTTATTTTTGTGCTAGGTACATCAAATTATTTTATGTTTTTTTATGAGATATTCGACTATGCATGGTTCGGATCGAGTGAATTGTCCAAATGGTCACTAAACTTTGTAAAAAGTTTTCGAAGGGTCATTGAACTTTAAAAATCATCTAAATGATCATTGATCTTTGCAAAAGGTTTCTATAGGGTCACTAAATTTTAAAAGTCATTTAAATGGTCACTGAACTTTATAAAAGATTTCCATGAGGTCACTAAACTTTACAAAAGGTTTTCACGATATCATTGAATTCAGTGACCCCTATGAAATCTTTTGCGAATTTCGATGACCATTTAGACGATTTTTAAAGTTCAGTGACCCCTTGAAAATATTTTGCAAAATTCAGTGATCATTTTAGTGATTGTTAAAGTTCAGTGACCTTTTGAAAATTTTTTACAAAGTTTAATGACAATTTGAACAATTCACTCGTTCAGATTAAATATAATAAATAAGGTCGTCTGGTATCTGATAATTGAATTTGAAATGACATAGAATACTGCCTTAAAAATTGTTATATTATAATTTGCAAGGAAGCAGTTGCTTGTGAAGTAATAATTGTTCCTTACAAACTCAATGAAGTCACATGCATGACTGGAGCCCACTTTAGTTGGGCTGTGACTTTCTCATTTAAACTGGTAAAAAAAATTAGAGAAAATATTGTCACATAAATGCACTTCCATGACATTGTAGACCGTTATATTAGGAGTTTAAGGGTTTGTTTCAGTTCCATTTATATGGAGAATAGATTTTGTAGTAATATTTTGGAGGGTTAAGAAGGGAAAAATTTTGGATTTAAGTGTCAAATTATTTTATTTAAAAAATTGTATGATTGAAAATGAATTTAAAAAAAATAATAATAATAATAATGTGGCTAAAAAATGGGCTAATATGTTGTCCAAATTTGATTTCTTTGTTATCCCCTTTAATATATATTTTGATATATTAACACATCATTTCATCTTAGTAAGTTGGGTGACATCATCAAATTTTTTGACAACTCGACATATAACCCTTGACGTCTTCCTGTTTGCTAAGAAAATATAATATGCAGAAATGTCAAAAATTTATTAGATGATAGTGAAGAGGACAAAAAGTTCGGGACATGATATCTCAACAGTATCATTGGACCTAGGACCTATCATTTGAAAGAAATTAAGCCTCTGTTTGGTGGCATTAAAATTTAAAAACATAGTTTTGAACAATATTTTTTGGATAATTAGTTAAAAAGTATGGAAAAGTTATGAATTTGTGTGTAAAATATTTTATTGTATAAATGTCTTGTTAAAAATAAATATGAAAAATGAATTAAAATAGAGTAACGAGAATCAAACATGGACTAAAGAATAAACATAATTAGGGGACCATGTCTTTATCTTTTCTTGAAAAAAATCTCTTTGGACATGGACCACATTGATAGAAAAAGAAAGAGGTGGAGGACCACACAGAGTGCAATATGAATTTTGAAATTGAAGCAAATGATGCCAATAGGCAAAGATATGCCACTCTACTCATATACTGTTGATATGAGGAAAGGTGAAAGAAATATATTGGTAAAATATTGTTAATTTCACCCATCATCACTGGAGTTTTACAAAATTTCAATTGGTTCTTAAAGTTTTTTTTTTCTAATATTATTAATAGTTTCACAATTTGTTGCTTGATAAAGTAACGTAAAATATGACGTGACATTCGCCAAAGTGGACCAACTGTTGTTATTTATCTCATCAATTTCATTTTGTTGAACTAGAAAACTGATTGCTAGTAAAAAAAAATAAAAATAAAATTCATATTTTCGCTTTAGAGATGATTTTTGAAATTTTTACTGCCGGTTTGGTAATCCAACAAAATGTAATTCACAACAGAAATAACGGATGTTGTACTCTGAGCTCCGACCTAAGCTAAATGACCTCTTAAAACCCCCTAATCCGTGTAAAAGTTCAAGGCGGATCATCAAGGTCAGCTCGGAATAATTGCCGTCGTAATCCCAGAAAACATCATGATTACAGATTCTCTACCAACCATTCAGTCGAAACAGTCAGCCCCCCAATCAACTAGGAATATTTGACGAATATGACGTCAATGCCTCCATATCCCACCAATCAGCTGCAGAAGTCCCTTACTCGATGTCAGCTCATTATTAACTGATAATATAATACTGACCAATGTCATGATGATTTGATGGCGGCTGACCTTGGCGGCCAAATGAAGGCAAGAACACTGGCACGGGCCCCCAAGCTCGCTATTGTAGCTAATTTGATTGACAAGACCTAAGACTGGCCAAAGGGAAAGCTCTTCCCCCTTATAAATAGAAGCCAATGGTCCATCTCAAGGGCAAGCTGAGCTAAACCACCTCTCACAAGAAAAAGAAAAATGAAAATCACACAAACACTACACACTACAGAAAGACCAAAAAATGGGGGCGGAAGATTGCTAAAAAATATATTTTC